GTTTTCCTGCCTTGCCCACAGTCAGGACAAATCTTTGTCACCCGCCAGTCCCACAGCCGCTCAGACCCAACCAAGTAAACACAGAGAATTATATTGCATACAAACTGTATGGCCGTGGCAGGCTTCTTGCTAACTGTTCTTATAGCTTAAATTAACCCATTTCCATAAATCTATACCTTGCCACGTGGCTGGTAGCTTACCGGCGTCTTCACATGCTGCTGGTCATGGCGGCAGCTGGCAGTGTCTCTCTGCCTCAGCCTTCCGCTTCCCAGAATTCTCCTCTCTCCTTGTCCCACCTACTTCCTGCCTGGCCACTGGCCAATCAGTGTTTTATTTGACATACAGACCATCCCACAGCATACACACTTAAAAAACATGTGGATTCTGACTTAGGAAAGCAACTAATATCATTCAATGCAGGCTCAGTTCTTGGGAAAGCATAAAAAGGTTTGCAGGTCAAAAGATAAAGGGTGACTAAAAACTAGCATATTACAGTCTTAGAAAGATGGCTCAGAAATTAAGAGCACTGGCTGCTTTTGCATAGAACCAAGTTTAGTCCCCAGCTCACAGCCGCCTGTAACTTTAGTCCCAGTGTATCCAACATCCCTTCTGGCCTCCACAGCTATTGCATGTATATGGTACATATTCATATATTCAGGCAAAGCACTCATACAAGTAAAATTCTTAAAAAATAAATCTTTTTTTAATTAGCATTTTAGCTGGATGTGGTGGTGCACACTGTAACTGCAGTACTCAGGAAGCTGAGACAGGGGGATCTTTACAAGCTCAAGTCCAGACAGCTAGGGTACATATTGAATTTGAAGCCAGCCTCAGCTGTAGCAAGACCCTGTCTCAAACTCCACCACCACCAAAAAAAATTTTCCCAATTAAATCAAAGCCCATGTGGATGCCCAGCTGTACTACCAATGATACTTTTATCATTAACGTTCTCTCTGCTGTACCACACTGGTACAGCACTTAGCTAGCATTAAACCTGTCTACATCGTTGATGAGACTCTCTGATTCTTCTAATTATTACATCTTGTTTCTTAAAAATACAAAAACCTGCTCTGTTATTTAAATCAAAGCTCTAATCCAAGTATCAATAGTCACTCACTGAACCAACTTTGTGTTCTTTTTTACCTAAAAAAAAAAAAAAAAAAAAAAAAAAAAGCAGTTTATAAAACCAAGTATTGAGAGGAACATACTTCTGGAGCAAACACTCTGGGAATTTTCTTAAAGCCAAATGTGAACTTTAAAGTGAGAACCAAACATGAGCCAAGTGAACACCAAATACATTCTCACTGTTGTGGCTTTGCCCCAGTTCACCAAAAAGCTCTCAGGAAGCCAGCAAGATGGCTTAGTGAGCAGAGAGGCTTGCCTCTGCCTGATGACCTGAGTTCAGTCCCGAGAACCCACATAATAGAGGGAGAAAATCAACTCTCACAAGTTGTCCTCTGACTTCATGCTGTGTTACACTCACAAGTCATACACACTAAATAAATTAATAAATGTAAAAAATAAGAGAGTTTAAAAAAAGAAAAGAAGGAAAGATCTTAAGAATGTCATCCTTAATGTTATATTTTCCATTTTTCCTGAAAAGATTTACATCAATTCAATATAGTCCTAGAAAAGTTAACCAGTAAGTTATTTTTCATTTCAAATATATGTAAATTATATATATATATATATATATATATATATATAATTTGAAGATGAATCCAAGATTAAACTAAGCAACAAAAATACAAAGTACCAAATTATTCATGTACATACAGTCACCTTTATAATGTAATGTATATGTATGTACATACTCTTAGTGACTAATATAAATAACTATGTCCCCTACTTGAAATCTCAATCAAACCCAGACTAGATTCTTGTCACTGTCATTTCACCAATGAGGACATTAATAATCAAGTCCTTTTTGGTGTTGAACTAAATAGTGAAGTGAGTAAAGAAATTCATGCCAAATTTTTAATTTTCTTCTTTGCTTAATAGACATCCTCTACTTGACTGAGAATGGCTAATTTGGTCTATTTGATAGATTCGGTGTATTGGTTAACTTTCCTAAAACACCTGGCCAAGCAATTGAAGGAAGGAATGGCTTATTTTTTACTTACAGTTCCAGGGGGATGTAGTCCATCACAGCAGGTCAGGTAGTGCAGCAGAAAGCCAGCTGGTCACAGTGCATGGAGGTCAGGAAACAGAGCCAACAGGGAAGTGGGGACAAGCTGTAAGATATCAAGGCTGCTGCTCTGTTCACCATCTCCAGCAAGGCTCCACCTCCTAAACTTTAAGATGGAGAGGTTCCACAACCTTCCCAAACAGGGCCACTAGCTGGGGACCAGTGTTGAACCACATGAGCCTCTGGAGGACATTTCTCACTCAAGCCTTCACACTTGGGAAATGGTCCCTTATGACAGAAAAGACACGAACCTATAAATTATACTGGGTCAGCTGGTCAGGTTCAGTGCCCTGAAGGTATCCATCTCAGAATCATAACTGAATGCAGTCAGTAGGACTGAGACCCAAGAACCACTTTTCCTGAAGCTTCTGTGGGTTCTGATGAGTGTGAGCTGCACTCTTTGGCTTATTAGCGCCAGGGCATGTACCCGACATGACTGGCAGTTCTTCAAACAGATTCTCAGTCCTAGAGAGCTCTCTTTTTCTTTGACCTATACCTTTTAGAAAACCTGTACATGTAGTAAGTGAAAATATTATCACTACAAAATTTCATATGCTACAGGATGTGGAGCTGGAGATGTTATTCAGTTGGTAGAACACTTGCCTAGCATGCATATCCTGTGCTCTGTTTCCAGCACTGCCTAAATCTGGTGTGGTAGTATACAACTGGAATCCCAACACTTGGGAACTGGAGGTGGGAAGGTCAGAAGTTCAAGGTCATCCTCAGCTACATAGTAGATTCGAGTCCAGCTGTGGATATAACAGACCCTATCTCAAAAAACATTCAAATATAGACTAAAAGTGAAAAAGAAAAGAGAAAATTGCACTGTACCACTCAGTTTGAGAGCCTCTTCACCCAAGAGCACCAGAGATTCTCCTAATTGTCCCTTGACACTTTGACCTCTTAATTTCAATGTCACTTCTAAGAAATATCTCTAGAATGATTTCACTACAAAGTAATGCATAAGCTGATAAAACAATACTAAACCTACAAGAATCATGGCTTGATTTTTATATAACTTATGAGAAACATTTTCTCTCCAGCAAAAATTTAACTTAAGTGAAAAGAAAGTTTAACTAAATCTATCGCTTTCTGGATCATGATTTTTGAAATGATGCATACTGTCCAAAAATAGCATAGTGACAGGGTTTTGAGGGAGCCTACGGGGTGATAGGTGGAGTCTACATGCCACCACTATTTTAGGAAGAGCTTAGAGAAGAATCCGCAGTCACCTCCATTTACCTCCTGTTTTTAGTAGTTTCTGGGGGCATTAAAGGCTTAGACAGAATCAGTAACCTGTGCAAAGCTAAGCAATCCAATTCTGTACCACCGCCAAACTCTCATGGTAAACACCAGCCGTGCAGGAATCAAAAAGTAACACTAGTAGAAGCTGCCCCTAGCCCCATCTCCATAGAAGCCAGAGATCTGGGCCAGGCAGTAAGGAGACAACCACTGACTTTGAGAAAATAGAAATTGTTTTCAGCTCAAAATTGTCACCAAGAAATAGACAGCAGTGAAAACATCCCTTTGAGCCTCTCAGGTGATTATCTGTGAGACAGCAATGGGATTCCTGGGACAATTGCTAAAATAAAAAAAACGTAATCATACAACAGCCAAACCAAGGGCAGTTTTAGCCCTCACATTCCAATTCCCCAAAAGGCAACAGTCTAAAGAATATTCTAGTAGCTAGTCTGTCATTTCTAAAAGCAGCCTCATAGAAAAATGGAATAAATTGCTTGTATTGGGGTGCTCTTAACAAGTCAGAAGTCTTTATTTCTATTTGTGCACTGAACAGTTTTTAGAATGACAAAGGAGGGTAGAACAAGACAACGCCAAAGACCAAACTATGTTTCTCTTCTTCTAGGATAGGACAATCGCCAGTTGAAGAATTTTAGTTTGGATCTCTGTCACAAATTTTCTAGGTCTCTAAACTAATTCTTCTTTCTGATTATCTTTACAATAGTTGCTTCTCTCATTGTTGTGACACAATATCTAATAAAAGCTACTTCCGGAATGACTGGTCCTAGCTCAGAGTTTTCGAGCCCCATCTAGTGTGGTGGTGGTGGGGGTGACAGTGCAAGAGTGAGGGTCGTGATCACACTGCCTCTTTAGTCAGGAAGCAACGAGAGATGAATTCTGGCCTCAGCTAGCTTCCTTCCCTCCTTCCTTCCTTCCTTCCTTCCTTCCTTCCTTCCTTCCTTCCTCCTTCCTTCCTTCCTTCCTTCCTTCCTCCTTCCTTCCTTCCTTCCTTCCTTCCTTTCCTTCCTTCCTTCCTTCCTTCCTTCCCTCCTTTCTTCCTTCCCTCTTTGTTTCTTTCTTTCTATCTTTCTTTTTTTAAATTCAGTCTGGAACTGACCCCAGCTTATGGAATGGTGCTACCCACATTTAGAGTCTTCCTTCCTCAGTTAGCCTCTCTGAAAACACCCTCACAGCCAGGCCCAGGGGTGTGTTGCCAAATGATTCTCAATCTAGTCAACTTTACACCAAAAATTAATCCCCAGTCTTATTATTATTACATTTATGTGTTTGTTTGGTGTGTGTGTCTTTGCACATGGACAAGTGTGTGTGTGCACTGTGACACACATGTGGCAGAGAACAATTTAGGAGTTGGTTCTCTCCTTCCACCATGTGAGTCTAGGGATCAAACTCGGGTTGTGGACTTGGGGGCAGACACTTTACCTGCTGAGCCATCTCATTGGCTCCCATCAATCTTTGATGGGTTTTAAACTTCGGGGTTTGGACATAGCACAGAAGCCTTCTATTCAGTGGCTGGTGGCCTTCCTTCTTTCTCTTCCCTTCCCCCCCCCCCCAATTTGGCATCCTCTCTTAGTTTCTAATGGCCATGGGAAAAAATCTCGTTTCTTGCTCCATATAAATTCTTCTTTTACTAAGGCAGCAGATTGTTCGAAGCCTGAGACCTGACACATGGCAATTAAACTTTCAGAGCGTCCATCATTATACAACACTGTTGATGTCTTTATCTTTGGAGTGTTCATTCCAGCAATTGCAGAGGCTATGCTATGGAGTGACCTAACATTGCTTCTAGAAGCCTCAATATAAGTAAACCATGTTGCCTGCTTTATAGAGGAAGTTAGTACTTAACCCTTCTCTGGAGAGAAGAGAGTGTCCCCTGAAACTCGGGAAACAGAGTGCATGTCCAGTTCTGTTTGCTACTTTAATGAGCCATTTTCCCTCTGGAAATCCTCTCTGAACTTTCATACTTACAGGACTACATGAAAGACTATATTCTAAAATATCTGATGTAAAAATAAAATATTCTGATTTGTAACATATATAATTTTTAGTTAAGATATGGCCTTCCTAGAAACCATTTTCCAAGCAGTAACTAAAGGTAACACTTGGGGCAATTTTAAAAAATGTATTTCATGCATTGAGGTTGCAAGTCCCTTAAGGCTAGGTCTATTTTTGTGTCTACGTTGACAATAGCTGAGACTGTCACAGTCATTCACCTTCATCATTAAAAATACCATATAAAGTTCCTTTCCCCTCTAAAGTTAGAATGTGAAGTGCTGGACTTGCAGACTTAACTTGGTAAGTCCTTGGTTTGTATTCAGAGATTCTGAGGCTAGATAACCAGAAGAGATCAGATCTTAACACTGAGAAATCTGACCATTTTTCAAAAGTACTTGTGAAAAGCAAATGCTTTCATAAGCCTGTTCATTATGGATGCTTCTTGAAGAGTCATATAACTTACAAATAGACAAGTTTTATTGCAGGACAGAAATGTAGGGACTGGAAAGAGGTCTTAGTGATTAAGATCACATACTGCTTGCAGATGACCCAAGTTCAGTTCCCAGCATCCATGTCAGGTGGCTCACAGTCAACTGTAACTCTAGCTCCAGATCTGATGATGACATGTCACTATTTTCATCTCCATTGATCCCACTGTCACAGAGACTCAGATTGGCTTGGATTTAGTTAGAGTCTTTCCCAAGTGATGCCTAAACATTATATACAAACAATGAAGCACTAAGGCACTAGGACTCTGAAACAGTCTTTGGGAAACAGTACACAAATAACAAGACTGGTGTCACAAGGCACCTCGTGGATGACTGGTTTCACTAGCATGGCCATATGCTGGGAAGAGGACACAGAAAGAGAAGAAGCTACAGCAATGGAAACATCTTAGTTCACGAAATGTATTGACTGGAAATAAATAACAAAGCTTTAGGAAAAAGCAATAAAGGCATTAGAAAGCTCAGGCCACCGTAAAAGTCGGCTTCAGAGTAAATCCACAGAACAGTGATTGAATCCTGCAGTCATGATGCCACTACTGATATTAAGCATGCCTCAGAAGCCACCTTCATGTTCTTCAAGCAGTCAGCCTCTGCACAGTGAGGTTTCCAGCACTGTGGATGTGACTGTATAATTTAGCCCCTGTGGTTTGGATTTATGCAAACATTATTAAACTGTTGCTGCATGGAGAGCTGCATAGAGGTGATCAGGGTCACCTGAGTGGCAGTCGCCAGAGGCTAGGATGAAGTAAGAGTCAGAACTTCACCTCAGCAGCTAGAAACACAGTGGCTTGTTTGGGACAATACTGTCGTTCTGCCTGTCACAGCACAGTAGGGTGCTAACTAAAATCATCAGCATGGCACATGCAAGCTGCCAGACCGAGAAGGAAATGACTACAGGGTCTTTGTCATCACAGTGCAGATGTTCCCACTGCATCTCCTCCTGTCTTTTCAAACAACGCATTTTCCTTTTCCATCAAAAATTTCCATTTTACAACTAAATTTGGCAAAGCTGTTTTTATTGTTGTTGGGGCTTTTGTTTGTTTGTTTAGTTGGTTGGTTTGATTGGTCTTTGATTAGTTTGTTTGTTTGCTGGTTCATTATTGAAATAGGATCTCACACTGCAGCCCAGACTGCCTGGAACTATGTAGCCCTACTTGTGTCAAATTCACATCAATCCTGCCTCAACCTCCGGAGTACTGGGATTATAGCCTATACCAGTGGTTCTAGCAAATTCAGAATTTATACAAAAAGGCATTTCTATCGATAGCTGTGAGGTTGGTATATAAACTGCAACTGTACTTTATAACAACAAGGTTATCTTTACATTACATGTGGCCTTTTTTAAACTTGATTCTGCAGAGCAGTGTTCTACTTAAAATACTGTAATAACCCTTAGAAAGCTTACTTGTATAAACTGTGATTTATTTAAAAGCTGTTTCACTATTTTCTATATGAATGGAAATGTATTTAAGTGCACCTACTTGATGGTAATAAGTTCCTAACCTCTGTCACTTCTGACTTATAGGGTATCTTTGTTACTAGGGTTCAGCCTGATGGACCAGCATCCAACCTACTACAACCCGGAGATAAGATCCTTCAGGTAAGATGAACACAAGCTGACATGTCAGTGTCGGGTAGAGTACTTGAACTCAACACTCCTGTGTTGCTCACTTGTCAGTGTGGCTTTAAAGCCCTGTCCACCATAAGCCTGTGTCTGTAGTGTCAGCCATGGCCATGCCATTTCGTAAAGCTCTTCCATTTTAGTTGAATAATAACAATTCATGAAAATAAAGTAATTTGGTTCCTAGAATCAAAGCCCCCATAGTTGATTCTACATACAGGCCCCAGGCTAACAGAATCCCTCACCTACCCCATGCCCACCAGGAATCAGAGATAGTTTCACTACCAGCATGTACTATGGACTTCCCATAAGCCACCTGCTAGAGAAACTCTCCTTCTTCTAAAATGTGTAAGAATGGTCCCTCACCCTACCATGAGGGCCTGAAACTCTCCTCAGAACCCCACCATGCTGCTGTCTAAGGCCTTACTAGCCCTTTTAGCAAGCCTCTTCCTCAAAAGGACAGTCCACCTCAGCATCCACCTCAAATCCCAAACAAAAAACCTTCTACTGAATACCTGAGAAGCTCCCAGTACATGGCAGCATCCTGCACATTATTTTTGGGTGAATGGAATTACATGATGATACAAGAATGTGTACACATGTAAACACATGAGCCTGTATGGTTATAAACTAAAGAAAGCACAATAGCCTCTGATGGGCATCTGTATGACTTTCCATGAGTTCATAAGAGTGAACATATTTCCATTTGAAGGCTATAACACACGGTTGTATCTCTCTGTTCTCCTGTCTGGAACACAAGTTAAGCTTTTTAAATGTCATGTAGAGAAAGGCTTTCTCAAACTTAACACTGTACATACAATCAGAAAAGAGCCACTGTATTAAACAGTTAAACATGCGCTTGGTTTAGCCTTATCGACTTGATTCTCTTTTCCTCCTCCCCAAATTTAACTCCCCTGTAAGAGGTGTTTAATTATCTCCTACACTGTGAGAAAGACATTTAAAGACCGCCAGTGTGCTCAAGATTAAATGATTTAGCAGAAATTCCCCATTATATAAGTGATGGAACTGCCTGAAATTGCTAGTGCTCGACTTGGGTACACTGAGAAGGCAAGGCACACAAGAAAGGAGCTGTCATCAGTTCCGTTTCACTGTCTTGCTCCCCTCCTCTCCCCACGCTGAACTTCAAAGGTATCTCAGAATTTGGGGGAAAAAGTGTATCCAATTAATTTCTGGTGTCTGAGTTTTTAAAATGGGTACGTTCACATTCTACAACTTCAGACCAGGTAGCAGGTTCCCCTCTACCCATGCTGGAGTCAGAGAAAGGACTTGTCTTCTGCTCAGATTCAAAAAGGAAGAACTTCCTGGTGGAAAACAAGATGCTCCTGTCTCCTAAGAGGAGGAGCACATGCTCTTTCCTGTGAAGGTCTCCAAGGCTGCACGTGGGGCAGGAGGAGGAATGTGTGGCATTTCGAATCCTGAGATTTGCACACTGGCTGCCAAGCACACAGAGTGGGCTCCTAGAATAAGAGGGAAGGAATTATGAGTCAGTGAGTAAGAGGCAGAACATGCTAAGTCTCTCCTCTCCACAAATGACATCAGAGATGTGGCTTAAAATTCATTTCACAGCCCACTGTCAGAAAAAGAAGGAAAATACATAAACCTTACAGTTTTGCTCATAGTGATTAAAAATCAAAAGTGGTCAATTACATTCTGTGGAAGAAAAATGGAACTAATTCTTTGTGATTGTCAGTGTCATAAGTGAGAAAGAGAGCTGTGTTCTTGATTTATTTTCATACTTTTGAATACTCAAGAATGCTGGGAAAGGACTCTGTGATCAGTCAGTCACAAAATTAGTGTTCTACTTGTTACTTGGACAAATACATTTCCAAAGCTTAATAACAATAAAAATCCCGAGAAATATAAACGAAACAAAGAAACGTGTTACAAAGAACACGTTTCTTTTCGTGTTTCTTTGTAACACGTTTCGTTTGTAAACGTGTTACAAAGCGCTGAGGTTACTAGATTTAGCAGCAAAGAACAAAGGAGGCACAAGAAAGCAGAGATGCTATTCCCAGCCTCTCAAACCATAACTCATCAGATCTGCTCCATTTCTCCTTTTCTGTGACTATATTTTATGTGTGTGTGTGTGTGTGTAACACATGTTTGTATGTGTGTAACATATGTGTGTGTAGTGTATGATGCGTGTAACATATATATGTGACCTATGTATATGTATGTAACATGTGTGTAATGTGTATTATGATACATGTGTGTAACATATGTGTGTGTAGTGTATGATGCGTGTAACATATATATGTGACCTATGTATATGTATGTAACATGTGTGTAATGTGTATTATGATACATGTGTGTAACATATGTGTGTGACCTACATGTATGTGCAACATATATATGTATATACATGTTGGCCATGAGCAAAAGGCCAAAGAGCAACATCAAGCATCTTTGTATACCATTCTCCACCCTAGTTTTTAAGATAAAATCTTTCATTGAGCTTAAGCTCACCAGCTGGCTGCACTTAATGGCCAGTGAGCCCCAAGGATTTTTGTGTCTTCACGCTTCTCCACCAGAACTAGGGTTACAGACATGTGCTACCCTGGCTTCCACATGGTTGCCTGGGATCCAAACTCAGGTTCCTGTGCTGATGTTATAGGCACTTTACCAAATGAGCCACCTCCCAGCTCTGCATGACTCTACCCACCACTCCTGTCTGCTACTCTGAAATGATGAGCACACAGTTTGAATTACATGTGGATGTGTGCTTGAAGGGACGGTGCTCATGTAAACACATTTGCCTGACTTTTCTGTATTTTACCATTTGTTTTCCCCATGTAGATACACTACAATGGATGAATGTATTAAAACAACTTGTGCTATTTTGCTTTAAACTTACCTGGAATAATTTATAGAAGGAAAGACAAAAAACTGAAATTACATGAATCATTACAAAAAAAAAAAAAAAATAGATTGATCCCTGTGTATTTGCTGATCTGTAACCATTATCCAAATGGCAGTTTTGTTATTTTAACATCTACTTCTTTCTTCTTTCTAATGTTCTTTCTACCTGAAAAAAATTCAACCAAATTCATTACGTGCACTGCAATTCTAAATGTAGCTATGCACAGAGAGATATCCACTGACTAAAGTTGCTTTGTTGAAAAGATGAGTAGATTGGGGGAAATTATACTTGCTAGTGAGCAATAGAATTCACAGTCACGGCCTAAAGCATGAGTGTTCAGTGCTCTGCTCTGTCTCCATCCCTCTTTACACAGTCCTAACGTGGGCAACAGAAGAGAAAGTGCATAACTTATAGAGAATTCACCAATAGCATCTATATATTTTACCAGTTACTAAACCTGATGATTTTTTCCAACATGAGGCATATCAATGTGTTGCCCTATTGAAGATAATTGCAGTTTCTTATACCTAATAATCATTCTAGGGCTTTAGAATTAGTAATATGTACTCCTGGTCCAAGTCTGTATTTCTTTTCTCTTCCTTCCTCCATCGCTCCCTGTATATGTAGACCAAGATAGCCTCAAACTCCTAGTTCAAGACTATATTTCTAAGAGACCAAAGTAACATAGTTAAGGTAACAATAATATAAACCGTGCATTTCTCTCCTTTTTGCTAATTTTTTGGTTTATTTATTTAGTTTTATATGTATGAGTGTTTTACCTACATGTATGTATGTGTACCATGTACATGCCTGATGCCCATGGAAGTCAGAAGAGGGCATTGGAGCCCCTGGAACTAGAATTACAGATGATCATGAGCCACTGGGTGGAAACTGAACCCAGTTCCTCCACATGAGTCGTAACAAATGCTCTTAACCACTGAGCCATCTCTCTAGCCCTTGTACTAATCTTTAAAACTGTGATTGAATTCACATAGAAGTTTAAAGCGTAGCTGTCAATCACTGTCTACCAGAAAACACTTGGTCTGTTTTCAGGTGTAACTAGGGTGATGTTTAATGCTTCATGTTGCTGTCACCGTTGATCTGCACTAGACCTATTACTTCATCATCCTGTTCTGTAACCACCAATCACTTGGCCCTACATCCCTATTAGTGTCTTATGAGTAGCTGGTGTTAGATGCTTCTCAGCCATTGCTGTGACAGAACACCTGAGGGATGAAGGATTTGTTTGGTTTGAGTTTCAGAGGCTCCTGTCCAAGGCCCCTTAACTTCTGACACATGCTGAGACAAAGCATCATGGTAGGGGGCACACAGTAGAGTATGGAGGCTCGATGCATGTCCAACAGGAAGCTGAGAGAGATGAGAAGGAGTCGGGAATAAGATGTCAAAAACACACTCACCTCTGACAGTGGCTGACTTCTTCCAACCAACCCCAACCATTTAGTCTCCACTAGTTTCACCAAATTATTGCACTGCCCAGAAAATAATCACTGATTAGGTCAGAGCCCTCAGGACTTCATCATTTCCTATCAGATGCCAACCAGATTCCCAACATTCCTCCAGCATTCAGGGGACACTTCATGTCCAAAGTGTAATCCCAATATTAACATGATAGTGAAGTCACATGTCATCCAAAGAGCTTGTGACTAAGGAGACAAGTGTGTGCAGGTGCCTTGAAATGCTAAGAACTTAGTTCTGTGATGTATTCATAGGGAGTGTAGCAGGATTAAGAACATGAAGTGACTGAGAACAGGCTGTCTCTTGAAAGGAAGAATAGATAATGGTCACTCACAGGCAAAACAAAAGCCCGAATGGTTGCCCTCCTCTTCTTACCTCAGAGCCAGGGAAGAGCATGACAGGGGCACTGGAGATCTTGGGGACCTCAAGATGTGTAAAGAAGAGAAAAGGATCTTCTTCCCAGTGACAGAGGTCAACCCAGCTTCACACCAGGAAGAAGAATGAGCCAGGGCAGAGGGAGTGTAGGAAGAGGAGCCCCTGTGGGAAAGACACAGGAACAGTGTAGGAACTTACACCAGAGTGGATATGGGCTGTGATGAAGGGAGAGCTAGAGAGACTCTGGGCTCCTAGTTTGAGATGTGAAGAAAGAAACCCTTAAGGCATTGAATGCTCTGCATGGACTTGAAGGACTCAAACATGGAGACAAGCTGAACTAGATGGGACATAGTAACATATAGCTTCAGAGCAGAGTGGCCGAGTAACCATGGATTCTGTAGAAGTCTGGCAAAATGTCTGTGGGTGACTAGATCTGGCCTAACAGATCCACAGTGCTGACAACCACTAAACAGGCAGATTGTCCTTGTTGGGATAGGTTTTATGGCTCTTTAATGACTCATGGGTATGATTAGGTAACAGAATCATCTAAGTGAAGCTTGTTTATTCAGGAGCCTCCAGCTATCATTAATAAAAGTATAAAATTAAAAAAAAAAACTGTTTCCAAGAACCCATAGCTAATACAGCAAAGCCCCCACATTGAGTCCCATGTCAGTGAGGACTTATTTCACAAAGGACTTATTTCTTACCTAACCTTCCAGGACACCCAGAGGAAAGCCTTGAGGCCTAAGCACATTGCCAGAAGCAAAGTGTCACAGCTTCCTGTGCAGGGAGAAAGTGGAATTTTCATTTTAAAAAACAGAAGAAACAGTATTCAAAGGTTCAGTATACAGAAGGCAAATAGCGTTAAGAAGCCAGTAGCTTTCTGGTGGTTCTTTTAAAATATCTTTGCTAAATGAGTTCTTTGATCAAGCAAGTTGCAAAGCCACCTTAAGCCCTTCCTGTTTTCAGGATTTCACAATGCACAAAGCTTCTTAAGAACCTGAGAGTTTACCAAGCCTGTGCTTCCCAGCAGGTAGTCTGTGACCACTTTTAATAGCAGTAAAAGCTGCTACAAAGTCAAGTTCTCTCACAAAGAACAGTGTTTTGCATGAATGGTTTGAGAAATGAAAGTTTGTAGTTGAGGTTTTTGGTGGAAAATGTTTAATAATTTGTCAGAGTCAGCATGATATTGATTATATAGTGTATTCAATTGCAATCACCATGGTATTGATTATATAGTATATTCAGTCAATATTGATTATAGGGTGCATTCAATTGGAGGCAGTGTGATATTGATTATATAGTGCATTCAGTACTAAACATAGTCCAACATTTAATGAGAATACTCTACCAAATGAAAATTCTAAAATGGGGTCAGGCATGGATCATACCTGTAATCACAACAAGAAGTGGGTGGATACAGGGAGATGACTTGAGTTCAAAGCCAGACTGGCCTATGCATACTGTGTCTCCAAACAAAAAGGAAGAATGGGGAGAATGAAGAAAAAAAGAATAAATAGAAAAGATAAAACAAACAAACAAAAAACCAAGGCAATTCTGAAATGGGAATTAATTCTAGGAAGTTAGTACAAAGCACAATCATTATCTGTAATGGACTATTTCCTAGGATGCCTGGCTGTCAGAGCTGAGCCCCATAAAGGATTGCCCTCACAGCTGGAGCTTGCTGGCTGTGGTTTTTAGTCTTTATCTTAAGAGTTGTAGGCATTCAAATTTGCAAGATACTGATATACAAATACGTGTGCCCTGGCTCTCTAAGTGTTTTCCCCTCAAGATGTGTTTGAATTAACCAAAAGCACATGTCAAATCTCTAATCTGATTTCCCTTTTAATGTGTAAGAGGATCCACTGTCCTTGACCTATGTAGCAAACCTTCTTCATCACTGGTATGAAGGTTTGGAGTTTTAAGTAAGAATACAGCAGAATTCCTGTACTCTGGAAAGTTTCTGCAGACAAACATCTATAACTCACGAATTTAACAAAGGTTTTACCACAAGGAAGCCAAAGACAAGCCCAGGAGAAAGGAAAAGGGGGATGAGAAATCATGTGTGTTTTACAGTGAATTAATGCACTATATCCTCAATTGTGATTGGTCTGCAGATACTACTTTTATTAACTCTGGGTATTTTTGTGTCTAAATCACGACAAGGGGAAATTAAAAGCATTTTGCAGCACAGGAGAGGTGATATTGATTTAAATTAGGCAGACTATCTTTTGGACGCAGCATAAAGACTACACTGGAATGGCCTTCCATATTTTCAAATCAGCTCCTGCTAGAAGCCTATTAATTACATATCTTCAAAGCATAACATTTTGACATTCTGAATGTCACTTCCAAGATTGTTTGCCTATTAACTTCACTGGAACTTAATAAGTATCTCATTTGTTTCTCATTTTTCATTAACTTGCAATTTCCTCAAAATTACACAAATTTTACATGAATCTGATAGTGTTTATATACAACATACACATGCAATCAAATGTGACACTTCAAATGTTGCCTGATTTAGCATAAATCCATGTTATTATTTGCATTTATATTGTGTACATATTCAAATATCATATGTGTAAATGCTTCCTGTGCATTTACTTTCAAAACATCTTTGAATTTGTGTTCTGCAGTTGACATCGCCATAATGCAGCCTCCCTCTCTGCAGACTTTCTGATGTATACTACAGCCCTGATGGTTGCAGACGAGGGTTTTTCTCGTCTCTATTTAATCATAAAAATTTCAGACTCAGTGACCCTATGAGTCCCTGTCTGAACTACCCAAGATGAAAGCAGGTATCCAATGTTTGTGATCACAGAAATGAAGTTATTTTGGCCTCTTCTGTCCTGAGAATGAGGAAACAGTTCTCTGGGACAGAGCTCCTGACTTCTGCAGGCATTCAACTTGTTTCTCCATTCTCTTCTGCCACCACCTCCCGCAGAATCAAGCCTTGCAGTATATTCCAAACCAAGAAAACACTCAGGGCCATTAAGATGGCTTAGCAGGTAAAGGTACTTGCTGCAAAGCCTGATGACCTGCGTTTGATCCCAGGACTGGACTCACATGGTGGAAAGAGAAAGTTCACTTCCACAAGTATATAATTTATTGTAGATTTATTACAATAAGAATGTAATAAATTTAGAATAGCCTTTTTTTAAAAAAAAAATGAATAGCTCAATTAGTTTTTTTTTTTTTTTTTTTTTTTTTGGTTTTTCAAGACAGGGTTTCTCTGTGTAGCTTTGCGCCTTTCCTGGAACTCACTTGGTAGCCCAGGCTGGCCTCGAACTCACAGAGATCTGCCTGGCTCTGCCTCCTGAGTGCTGGGATTAAAGGCGTGCGCCACCACCGCCCAGCCAATTAGTATAAAATAATTCTTTTTTCTCTTTTTCTATTAAGAAATTTTCTATTTGTTCTACATATCAATCACAGATACCCCTCCCCTCCCTCCTCCTACCTCCCAGTCCTCCCCCCCAACCCTCCTCCCATTCTCATCTCCTCCAAGGCAAGGAGGAGTCAGTAGAGCCTGACATACTCAGTTGAGGCAGGTCCAAGCTCCTCCCCCTGCATCAAGGCTGTGCAAGATGTTCCACCATAGGTAGTGGACTCCAAAAAGCCGGCTCATGCACCAGGGATGGATCCTGATCCCACTACCAGGGGCCCCTTAAACAGATCAAGCTATACAATTGTCCAGTGGCATATACCCCTAATCCCATGTATTTATAGGAGGTGGAATATGAATCCAAAACTTCCTGGGCTGTATAGTTAGACCCTGTCTCAAAATAAATTAAAAAAATATAACATTTGATAAACCTAAAAGAAGAATTACCACCTTACAACATCCAGAAAAAGTGTGGCAAAGTCAAACTGTGCTGAAGTAGAATGCTAACTACTATGGGGTAAATCCCTGCTTGCCAGGGGCGTCTCTAGTGGGATCCATGTATCTATGTCTCTGTTAACTACCTCCCTATCTCCATCTGCCCAACTCTCAATGTCTACTTGTCTCTGTTTACCTTTTCAAAAAAGTTGTCTCTGTTTACCTTTTCAAAAAAGTTCTGATTAAATTCACATAATGGGGGTGAAGTGGGAAGAGGGCACGTTCCAGAGGAAGTGGCAAGGGGGATAAGAGGAGAATGGGGTGAATATGTTCAAGACATATTATACACATGGAATTTTCAAAGAATGTGTTTAAATTTAAAATAAATGCTTAACATGTTAAGCTACCTCTTTTCCCTTTGAAGAAGAGGCTTTCTACACTACCTACCCTTCCTTAACTGAGGCCCTTCCCTGTAGCTTCTGTTCACTCCCCATCAGCCTCCCAGTTCTATTATCTTAGGTCTTATCTCCAATGCCTCCCACAATGCCCGGGTTGGTCAGCTCACAACAGACATTTTTAATTAAAGAAATGAGGAAGAAAGGTCATCATGGAAGGGACCAATCATCTTGGAAGATCTTCCAATCTAAACACATCATTTAAATTCACACCTACTTATTTGTTTTGACTACCCATCCCCTCAACACTGACACTGTCGATTTTTTAGCACCAATACTTATGTGTTGGATATAGTGGTGAACAGTGTATGATTCATGGTCTCCAAATCCAGAAGTCCTTCACCATGACACTTTGAAATATAAAAATGTTGGACAATTCATTGAAAATTCTCTGAGGGTTTTGGGTTCTTTGCAGAAGTGTTCCATTATTAAATTGATATTTTATAACTAGCATTTACCTTTTGGGCACATTGAAAACAGTAAGTACATCCTTCCTACTACAGTGAAATAACCTTATATTTCTTAATGGTTTGCTATTTTTCCAATGACTGAACTAGAATGAGAATAGTAAGAACTTCCTCATGCTGTATTCTCTATTCCCTGGAACCTTGTTTTTTACTATAACTTAAAGCAAGAAGGGTTGTTGTTGTTGTTGTTATTGTTGTTGTTTTAAAGCAAAAAGTTAAACTTGGCACATCCTCAGTAATAGAATAGTAATATTCAGCTTCTGACTCCTGCCACTGAAATAGCTCGTGCCAACCACAGTTAGTGTTTTTCCTTAATTGGATGCTTTAGAAAATATACAGTTAGAGCATTGTTAATTCAAAGCAAATTTGTAGCTCTAGGGACACAGATTGCTTTCCTCCAGTGTATTCCCTATTGATAGATGTGCCATGCTTTCAAATGCAGCATTTCTAAACCTTATTTACCACATTACTATATGATTTTAACTAACGAATGATAAAATTATAGATGCAATAATTTCTATCGAAGTTATAAAGGTGTGAGGTATTGTCAAGGTGAAATGCTGTTTGAAATTTGAAAGAGATGAAGACAAAAACATTTTGACTTTTAAGTGAATGGTTAATTAAAATATTAAAACCATAAAAAGAGTAAGTATCCCCAGATGAAGTATGAGTCCACTAAAAATTGGAGACGTCAAGTTAGGGAGGCAGTTCAACAGGCAGAGTGTGTACTGTGCAAGCATGAGGACCTGAATTCGGATCCTCAGCACCCATAGAAAAGCTGGGCACAGCATCATGTAATCCTAACACTGGAGAGACAGAGACAAGAGGATCCGTAAGGTTCGCTGGCCAGCTGGTCTAGCTGAATTGGTGAGCATCAGGTTCAATGAGTAACCCTGTCACAAAAAGTAAGGTGGAAAGCTATTGAGGAAAGTACATACCATCCTCTGGGCATCCGCGCGCGCACACACACACACACACGGAATGCTACCTGGTTCTAATGCCTGTACACTGCAAAGCAGTCCAGGTAACTGATTCTTTTTCCAAAACCAGTGCATCTCATCCTGCAAGGGAATAGTTATGTAACTGTCAATTACTGGGTGGCAGAAACTTATTCCAAATTTCAATAATCTTGTGTTTTAATTTAGTTTTAATCCTACAGAGTTATATTGACCTACCTTTCCATAAATTAAGTGAAAATAATCCCAGTAAGACAATTTGCTGTTTAATGTAGAGAAAACCAAGTACCATGAGCACTCATTACAGAGAAAAATGTACATTTTGTGACATAAAGATCAACCAGTAGCCAGCTGGATTCTGAAATTCCAACAGGCTAATTATGTTCTAAATGAATTTTGATGTCTTGCCCTGATGACCCTTAGCTAGAAGACTGAAGGTTTTCTCTGTGAATAATGTCACTGGGTTTTATTGTCAAGACACTGATTCTTTGAACTGGTTAAGAACCAATGTGTAGATAATAGAAACTTGGGCATTTACTAGTAGAGATTTTTTTTTAATTGAGAGAAAAATATAAATCGACTATTTTCCAGTGAATCAAAACGAGATTAAATAGTACCTTAAGTGTCCATTCACATTTGGCATGATTACAATATCTAACATGGAGCTGGAGAGATGGCTCAGTGGTTAAGAGCCTTGCTGCTCTTGCAGAGAACCCGAGTTTGGTTCCTAGTACCTATGCTAAGCAGTTCATAGCCACCTGTAATTCCATTTCCAGGAGATCCAATGCCCTCTTCTGGCATCCAGGCTCCTACATACATAGCAAGCATTCACAAAGACACATCAGTGAAAATAAAAATGATTCTTAAAAGTATGTTGGTGAGTGTGTCAGTAATTATGTCAACTAAGTGCCACCTCAACTGAGAACGTGTACAAACAAATGGGAACCATGGGGCTGGCATGTGGCTCTGTTGCAGAGTGCTTGCTCAGCATATACCAGGACCTGAGTTCCATCCCCAGCACAGCAAAATACAAAAAAATGGAACAACATGGCAAAACTGAACTACTGTGTCTAAGTACATCTGACTGATTCTGCTGAGTAGGACATTATGATTGTACATAAGCAAGGAAATACTGGGCGTTTGATAAATACTTGTCAAAGCCATTTCACTCTGAATCTTAAAATCTTATTGTGCTATGCTCCTCAGAGCCCTGTGATTACAGTGGTGCCAAGGGAATGAGCTGTTGGCATTGACTGACCTGTTTCATTTGTGTGTTTTCAGGCAAATGGACACAGTTTTGTGCATATGGAACACGAAAAAGCTGTTTTACTACTGAAGAGCTTCCAGAACACAGTAGACCTAGTTATTCAACGTGAGCTCACTGTCTAAATGTTTTTATAAATAGTGAAGATATGTCAGGCCAGAGCTAATGTTCAAAAATAAATTTATACATAGAAACAAATTTTGCCAGTTGCTGGACCAATGGCAAACACCAGTGCCAGGTGTAAAATATTGTACGTTAGCCTTGACTACCCTGAAAAATGTTACCTATAAACATGGCGTTCATGCGCGGTTCTGTATCAGTTCCAGCGGCAGCCTCTGGCTGTACATTGGTGCGGTTTTGTTTCTGTTTTTGTTTTTTAATCAAATAAGTTGTCTTCTAAAAGTGGATTTCCTATCATTTCGGAGCACGGAAGCACACAAAAGCTCTTTACAAATTCTGCTCTCCATCAGAAATACTGCCTCAAAAGTTGTATATAAAGAATTGTAATCCCCATAAAGTATTTCTAGCACAAGGTATATGTTGGCATATATACAAAAAAGAATATAGAAAAATGATATTTTCGTAAACATCTTGGATTGAGAAAGAAAATATATCTTAAAATAAGACTTTACTATATTGAATCTTTTTCAATAAAAATTACATGATTACGCCTTATGGAAGCAACTGTACATAAAGTATAAGGTATTTATATTTGGTTCCACAGCCATTTGCTAAATTCCCACGCAGAGTGAAATAGTTCATAAATTATCCATTAATCTCTGGGACCTGAGTAAAAATTGGAGAAGGTAAATCTGTTTAATGCCTTTAGCTAATTAAAAGGACACAAGCAGACTTTAGAGACAGACCACAGGCTGCTGCAGACCAGGTTCTTTACCACAGCCAGAAGCAGTGAGTGAGGGGTGGCAGGGAACGCTTAATGCTTTAATGTTCTGTTTCCTCGGGGTTATGTCAACTATAAACTGTGGCCCCTGTGATTCCCTTACTGTAAATGTGGAACTTATCCGTGTGCTGCTTTATTTAATTTGCTACTTTTAAACCATTTTCAATGAACTTTGGGAATTGATAACTTTTATTATAGAGAGAGACTTGTTAGAAAGCCATGGTGAGTGATTTCAAAACCTTGGTGTTGAAATATGGAACTTCAGATATAATTTCTCAGAGCTGTGGTCTGCTAGTATCATGAATCTTAATGCCTGTTTTTTTTTTGTAGACAGAAATAGACAAATTTTTTTTCTTCAAAAAAAGTTTCAAGAAACATAAACATGAATGCAATCATACAGAGAGTGAAAAAAAGCCTAATGTACTTTTACATTGTGTTTCCCTTTGTGAAAATTCAAAATATGTTTTATAATCCTTTAAAGTATTTCTTTTTATAGTAGTCATTAATTTGATTAAAATATTAATTTGAAATTTCAGGTCGACTTTCCATACTTAGTTGTACACATTCCCTCATATAACTACATCACTTTTTTTTTTTTTTTTTTTTTTTTTTTTTTTTTTTCAAAAAAGGGTTTCTCTGTGTAGCTTTGCGCCTTTCCTAGAGCTCACTTGGTAGCCCAGGCTGGCCTCGAACTCACAGAGATCCGCCTGCCTCTGCCTCCCGAGTGCTGGGATTAAAGGCGTGCGCCACCAACGCCCGGCTAACTACATCACTTTTTATATAACAAATTTATCTCACATGCTAGTGTTTGAAATTTTACAATGCAATCACATGTGGATGTCACCAGAGCTCTGAGGATAATATTTGTAAGTTTATGTTTTATGGGGACATTGAAAATATTGTATTTTTGTAGGATCTATTAAAATGAGTGCCACTTATTATAAGTACAGTGGTGTTTTTGACATAGAATTTGTCACTTGGAGACAAATGCAACTTCATTTACAGGCGGTGCACTAGTTTTTGTGTTGATTTATGTCAGGATGGCACGATACCGTGGTTTTATGGCTTTGACAATTAGCTACTGATTTGAGATTGACCTTTTTGGCATATTACACAGAAGCAGCTTTTAAGTGCATTTTCATACATTGAAAGCATCTAATGAAAAGTGTCTTTCAAACCCTAATTTTCTGTTTCAAAAGCTTATGGCACATCACCGTAGCAGATGTTCTAGGCTCAGTCTTAGTCAAAAGAAACCAGCCAAGCTCAGAACATAGTATGGCAGCTTGAAACATCCAGAAAGCACCCATCAGGGCAGTGTGGCCTTCTACCTGAAAGCAGGAGGAGGGGCTGGAGAGATGGCTCAGTGGTTAAGAGCACTGGCTGCTCTTCCAGAGGTCCTGAGTTCAATTTCCAGCAACCACATGGTGGCTCTCAACCACCTGTAATAAGACCTGGTGCCCTCTTCTGGACTGCAGGGACACATGTAGGCAGAAAGCAGAAGGCATCCAGATGCAGGGCTCTCCAGGTGCTTTCTTTTGTAGGAGCATCAGGTGCTCCTGAGGCCATCAGCTGAGAGGTGGTGACCCTTCCTTGATGGACAACATTGTCAGAGGCCTTGCTTTGATGCTTCCTTCTGTGAAGCTCAGTAATAGGGAAAGAAAAAAGGGACTCCTAACCTCTTGGGGAAAATGTGGATATAATCCAGGTGTTTTAGGTTAACTCAGTGGAATTACTTGTGGTTGGGGGAGGGGCTCCTCATTGATTTTAAAGATGGCCCGAGCCAGCAATTCATTGATCTGGGGGTATTTTTATTTTTGAGTAACTAACTTGCTACCTGAAACTGGTTCCTGTTAACATCAAACATAGAAGCTAAGAGTGTTAAAAGGGAAAGAAAGAAAAGGAAAAATCTGCAACACAAAGGAGTGAGTTCTCAGTGGCACCATGAAATCTCTACCTCTTGGTGGTCCTGGATCTTCCTGCTGAGGAAGCTGCTTATAGACATGGATCAATAGGGTGATGTGGAGTAGGCTGGAGACATTAGAGATGGAAAGGACAAACACTAACAATTAGTAGCCAGAATCTGTGGGTTCTGCCAGATAAATATAAAGGGACAATTTTCAAAACCTCTCACCAGGCATACAGTACTTTGTCATAAACACTTTATTAAGGTGACTCCACCAGGCAACAGAAGCCACCAAACACATGAGTCCTGCTGACTTGTAGTAAATGCTGTCCGGGCTCCCCACCTCCACAGAGAACACCCTGGATCAGGACTGGGAACCACCACTGACTTGTTTTCAGAGAGGAGTGCATGCAAAGCACTGCTGTCACTCTCTTTAAAAGTGGGGTTGAGCTACTTAACATGTGTGGGGTAAAGAGAGAGAGAGGTAGAGGACAGAAAATGATGAAGGACTTTTGATTATATATTCAAATATCAAGAGAAAATTTTCCAAATTTCCCGAACTATTAGATGGAGAAACTCAGAAACGATTAATTGTTAGTCATAAAACCTGCCAAGAATGCATACCTCAGTGTAAAAGCTTGGAAAACAGTGTTCTTCTCAACCTTTCTTTCCACAGGATTTGAGTTGTCCATCACCATTTTCTGCTTCTCATTGGCAGGAAGATTGAGAATGTCTATTCCAATGAATGCATTCTTGTGGAGAAACAAGAATATGACCTAATCAGATCAAAATTCATGTTGGTATCAGACTGCCACCTGAGCCATTAGTGAATTTAGTCTTAACATGTCTGACTGATCCATGAAATAGCAACCCACCCACAGATCCACTGGAACACTAGATCAGTAAAAAGTAACAAGTTAGGAAAATAATGAAGTTCAGTCAGTTAAGATAGGCCCTTCAGTACAAAGACAAGCAGCACCGAGGGGCCAGCAAAAGCACCGTGGCACAAATACTTCTTTCCATGGCTTAACCAAATGTTCACACACCAGTCAGTCATGTACCCACTTTCCACCATGGGTGCAGCTTCTTGACCAACTAGGACTTTGGTGGATTTTCTAGATTCAAGATTACTTACACAACTTGTTTCCTTAGCAATCCTGGGAGAGGCATTCTGCCCTGGCTTGGAACATGAGCCTGGATCCCCTGAAAACATGCTCTGTCTCTCAAATAGAATGTGGGCTGAGGGTAATTGGATGTGTTCTGTGGAACACACACGGTTGTTGGCTCTCCTGCATGTCTGTCTAGCTCCATTTTAGTCTACAGTATGCAGTGAGTTTCCCATGACACCCATGGACAAGACTAAGGCAGATGCAACCTTGTTTTCAATTCTTCTCTGGCACATCTGGGGACATTTCTGCTTCTAGCATGCAAAGCTGGTCTCCTCTCATGGCTGTTGTTCTTCTGTAGACTCATGCCCTACCCACCCATGCTGTTCAAAGGAGGTAGGTGTATGTTTCCATCCCACCGAGGCAAACACATATAGCCTCCAAAGCTCTAGCTGCCAGAAGACCCAGAATATCAGCTGAGGGCTTCCCCCACTGTTTGAGAGGAAGTCTCCTAGGGGAAAAGTCAGTGCTTACCACACCACTGACAGCAGCAAACAGCTCATGCACAAAGGTGTGAGGGTGTCAGTGCCTTAACAAAGCCATGTTTCCACTTCCGCGTTTATTTCTACTGTTTGCTTCTCTATTCTAAGTGTTAGGTATTTGCCATACATAGTGAGGGACTTTCTCTGAGCTGCTTGTATGCATACTGGGGCACCTCCTAGTCTTCCCAACCTTTAACACTGTGAGGAAATTATCCAGAAACACTCTCCTGTGAGGACAGAAACTCCTGCCTTCCATCCCAAAGAATTTGAGAGTTCTGGAACAATGAAGAGGAAAGACCACTTTAAGAGTTTATTTTAAAACTAACAGTGAAAACAGAGGAACCTGGGTTCCCTTGCTTTCTCACTATGTGATTGTCTTGATTTTCCTAGAAGCCGTTTTTTGGGTTTTTTTTTTTTTTTTTTTTTTAGGGGCGGAGGAGGACATAAGAACTGATGGTTTTAACTTTTGGAGCATCTTGACTGCCTGGGTTCTGCAGATGGATTCTGAAACATTCTCTAAGTAGGGTGCAGAATTAAAAGTGAGAGGGTCTGTTACCAGCCTGTGCAAATAGCCAGGAGAGAGATCTGAGATACACCCTTTCTTCCAAAAATTCAAAACATACTCTTGTTTTGGCTTGACTTTGTTCATGGTAACACTACAGAGAGTTAAGTGTTGGGAAATTTCAGGCAGCATTTATGTAGAAAATGATAAAATCCCGTGGCTCTTTTTCTAGCACTGACTGATATAGAACTGACCAAAGCACAAGCAATGTACCAGACCCCAATACATGAGTTTCCAAATCCAACATAATTTCCCTTCCTTTATTAAAAAATGGCTGTTTCATCCTTTAAGCTGTACCATTTGCATATATTCATCTGTATATGATTTGGTGGGGAAAGGTGTTTAAAATGATCATTCAATATTTCCCTCCTTTGAAAGTTTTTCTCCCACTTTGAACAAGTATATTATTTGTAGGGTTTTTTTTCTGTTTTAAAATAAAGTGATGAGCATACATCCCACCAGACAGACAGACATCTCTCATCTAGAGGAAAATAGCTCACATTGAGTCTTGTTTTCAACAGCAAACTCATATACTTCCTTCACAATAGGTTAGCTGATCTCAGAAGCCTAGGGTAAATTATATAGTCAAGGCATTTAGAGATACATTATTGAAGATTGTAACAAAAAACATAAAGTGCAATGATTATAAATTTTATGATAAATATCTGCTGAGCGCCACTATCCATCGGGCCTGATAGGGACATAGCACAGCCTCTCCTCCGCACCGAATGTCATAGTTGAGTGGAAAAAGAAGTTGCAGATGGAATGAGACAGTCTGGTGAGTGCTCTATCTCCGCCCTTACCCCATCCCATGGCTGATGGCATCCACTCTGCCCAGGTTGGAACAGTACTTCAGTTGGAGCTATCCTTATGTCTCCCTACCAGGTCCTAGGGCCACTGGGAGGCTATTTCAAGTGTTTGTTGGAACTTAGAGAACCGTCTAACAGACTGGTCATGGACAGATTGAAAATATTTTTGGACATGGGAAACAGAACCCAGAATCTCTTGGATTTTGGAAGAAGGGCTGTGTTTTTGTCAGTTTGTTAGCATGAAAGAAAACAAGGGTTGTCATGAAGACCACTGTCCCTCAGTCTGGCCCAGCACTCAGCTCCATGTTCTGGCATCAGTGGATGCTAACATCTTAACAGACACGGGGAGGCGGGGGGATCCTTCCTTTGTCCACTGCTTCTAGGACATACTCTCTGTGTCCAGTGTTAGAATTATCGACTCAGAAAGGCAGTGAATAGCTGAGTGTAGTGGCACACACCTTTGATCCCAGCACTTGGGAGGCAGAGCCAGGTGGGTCTCTGTGAGCTCAAGGCCAACCTGGTCTACATAGTGAGTTCCAGGACAGCCAGGACTACATAGTGAGACCCTAACTCAATAATAATAATAATAATAATAATTTTTTAAAAAAGGCAGTTTACAGGGGTCAACATCCAACTGACCACCTTTCGGACCTATGTATTCCCCTGTGAACTTAAGAATACTGTCACGACCTGGCCTGCTGTTTAGCCCATCCCATGATCAAGCTGCTTGTATGCTGTTGGATTGTGCATATCTACACATCAAACCAACCATCTGTCCTTCCCAGGAGAGCTGGGGCCTCTGGTTATAGGAACGGCCTGTTTCTCTTCCCTGCCTGACCCAGACTGGGTAAGGCTCCTGCCTTCTGTGTGCCCTGGTGCTTCGCTGCCTTTGCACACACTGGCTCTTTGCTGGCAAGCTTCCTCTCCTAGCCTCCTTCCCAAGTTACCAAAATCATATTCAGTCTTCAGGGTCCCGCCTACTTGGCCCAGCAACCACGAAGCCTTCTGTAATCCTAATGGGGAAACTGTCAGTGCCACCAACATGATGTAGTCCTCACTCCACCTGAACCCTGTGCTGCTCGGTCTGTGTTCTCTGTCGAGCTGAAGCTCCTTTGAGAAAGAGGGATAGACAGACAGCATCCCCAGAAGAACACATCGATCCCTCAGCCTTTCTTAGTGGCACAAGCATAGTGAGTGACATACTTAACAAATAATGACTTAAGTGGGTGACGGATGCTTCTCTGTGTAACCTTAAATGATGAACCTTTTACCTTTGGTCTCCTCTGTTGATTCATTATTCCCACTTTTGTTGGGGATTAGGAAGTCCTCTATGCCAAATTTCCCCCTCTTCTTGCCATTTCTTTTCAAAGCCTTCAGAATCTTTGTGCTGTTCGGCAGTTAGATTTCATTTGCTTTTTACATATTCTAAAGATGCCAGCATTGCCCAAAATATTTAAGTGACTTGGTTGTTCAGTTGGGAAAACATTTTTATATCCTTTTAATTAGTTTGGATTCTGTTTCTTCTGGGGAAAAATCATACATTTAGTTGTCAGAAATATCCCAGAGACTTGAAGGATGGTGTTGAACTAAAAAAGCTGTGGTTTTAAGCATCTTAAGAGACCACCAGGCTGAGAACCCCATCCTGGCCATAGCTCTCAAGCCCTGGTGAAGAGACTGTGAAGGCTGAATATGGTTAAGGCTGCCCTTAGACTCATTTAATATAAAGATCCTTCTACCTTGTATTGTGACTAGGAAGGTTGTTAGATTAAGCTTTTTTTTTTTTACAATATGAAGATGAGAAGAATAAAGGATACCCTAAATGAAAATGGCATAAGAAATTCAGAGAAATGAGGTTCCCATAGTCAGCAAGGTATTTTTCTGAGGTAAGTGCCAGTGTAAGACACTTACAGCCACAGGAAAAAGCTCTGTGGAGAAGTGAAAGTGTCTATCACTCCTGAGACAAGTGAGGATCTGGAAGGGACAGCTAACACATCATCCAAACTTCCTGGAGAAGGGGCCTCCCTTAGCTTTGTGTCACCACCACCCACCAACAAAACCAAGGATGAACAAATTATGTGTTGCTTTTTCCCCAAAGCTCCTCAGTTTGAGTTCCTGGTTTCAAGTCTGAGATACTTGCTATCCTTGCAATCATTTTGACATGCCCACAGAACTTTTCTTGAGGAACATGTAGTTACAAAGAATCACCACCAGGTGGAGAGCGTCTTCCTAGATTTAATGCCAGAGTCTGAAGACGTCTTCACAGCCGGTTCTTGTCTCTGTGTAGATGGAGTCTTATTTATGATTATGCTCTAAGCTTAAATGACACCAATGGATTGTGTATCTTTTGTACTAAAACGCTCAGGTTGAATCAACTCCCCAGAGTGCAGATCTCTCTCTCAGCCTTGGACCAGTGTGTGCTGAAATTCTGTTCTTTCTTAACAGTTTAATAAGCACATCCATTGCTTTCATAGTTTTTCTCTAGCTTGCTTGAGTCTTTCAGATACTTTGTGCTAATCTCCCTTATTTTATCCACACCTCCCATTAGTTGACATGGCAATATATTTGCTTTAAATCATCATAATTTACTTTGGAAATTATCTCTTCAAAACTTAAGCTTCAGGAATCAAGTTTGCCTGAATGGTCTCTCTTATGAAAAACTAATCAGGGTCCTGCTTGAATGTACATTTCCAGCTGACATCTGGTGGTAACTCTCCTCTATAAACTCACCTTTCATCTTATACATGTACACATGTATTAGCATAACATTATAAATGGAGTATATTACATAAAGAATGCATTTTAAAAAGCATCTCATAACGTGAAAATTGGGTTCCAAGAAAGGCCTAGCTAGGTAAACCCACCCCCAGACTCTTTCAGTCAGAATATCCATGTATTGAAAGCAGAATCTTGGCCACCTTGGTGACATGCTGTGATTATGAGATATTTAGAGTCTCAGGGCCTCTGATGGCTGGGTCCTGGTGAAAGAAATCACATTTAAGTTAAGGGTGTCTTCACCATCTGCCCAGACTTCTACTGTGATGATCCCATCAAAACCCTCCCCAG